GGTGAGAACATATGAATGAGATAATTTCATGTATAAGAACTTTTATAGAAACTGAATATTGACTGAATCGATAAGTAGACATTTTTTATATGGATGTGGTTACTATGGTGTTTTGAATGGTTGGCATCTCTAAAGGTATTCTGCGTGGGATGGTAGGTGGTTGTTTACTGGCTTGGAAAAATAATAGCAACAAACCACATGATTTGTCATTAATGTCTGTTGTGGTGCAGGATCAGTTACGTACCAAAGTGTAGTTAGAGTTACACCAAAAACAAAATCATATCGCCATATCTGTTGTGAAAAGCAATGCATTCTGCCTTAATGCTTGACTGTTGTCTAATATCTGCTGTGCATTATGTTCAAGGCTGTTACATGGGTCATAAAACTCTTAAACACATTTCTTGAAATGTTAACAGATATGTACAGGACAGGTTAAACACTGTAAAAATTTTTATATGCTACTCAAAATATGGTAACAATATTACATGTAATATTTCTGAGTAGATTTTAAGGCTTGATTCAGGAATCTACCCGAATAAATCATGTAAAATCTCCATAATTATTTATGACACAATGATTTTAATATTATTAGTGAAATGTGCTCATTTATTTTAAGTTGATTCTCAAAAGTTTGTGTTCTTGAGTAAGGCCTGTTTGTATTTGAATTACAATTAATAAGACTATTAACAGTGAGAGAGCTCAAGTAGTAGAAAACTTGTAACTGTACTGGCATTAGCAAAGCTACTGCTCATTTAACAAAGCATCTTTCCTTATAGTGTTAGTACATGCAGTTATCCATATCCTAACCATAAGCTCTGCTCTTCCACGCAATGGTAATGACAGAAACTTCAACATAACAAGAACTCTTTCAAATGTCAAACATAACTGAACATTAAACATTAACAGATGTTTCCCTGCACTCAAAAACACATAAAATAACACTTAATTTCAATATTTACTCTCCATATCCAGCCATATGCAAAGCATGGTGGGAAATAATAATCAAAAATCAAAATCTAAAATCAAAATTGTACTATTTTTTTTAAAATAGGTATTTATTCCTTAATTTTATCAGCTTAATCAGTTCCTCAATGCAAGTCTCAAAACTGCTTAAGTGAGGAAAACATATCTCGTGGTTTTATTAGTGAAATGTTCTCAATATTTTCTACACGACACTGAACAGCAATTTCTTTAATAAAATATACACACTATTTTTAATTATCACCTTAGTTTTTTAAATGAAAATTAAAAGACTCATGATTAATTTTTACAGTGCAGTATTGAGAACAATGATAACATTAATTGTTAATTAAAGGGAAAGTGATTTTTAAAAACAAATATGTATATTTGTTCAACCAGTTTCACTGAGGTGTTTAAAGGAAATTTATTTATTTACCCTTAAAGGGATAGTTCACCCAAAAATGAAAATTCTGTTATTATTTACTCACCTTCATGCCGTTTTAAACCTGGATGACTTTATCTCAAAATATCTTCTTTTAAGTACCAAATACATATAAAGACATAAGGGTGAGTAAATGATGACAGACTATGCATTTTTGAAAGTGAAAAAGTGAAAGTGAAAGTGACGTGGCCAAGTATGGTGACCCATACTCGGAATTAGTGCTCTGCACTTATCCCATCCAAAGTGCACACACACAGCAGTGAACACACACACACCGTGAACATCTAAAGGTATTCTGCGTGGGATGGTAGGTGGTTGTTTACTGGCTTGGAAAAATAATAGCAACAAACCACATGATTTGTCATTAATGTCTGTTGTGGTGCAGGATCAGTTACGTACCAAAGTGTAGTTAGAGTTACACCAAAAACAAAATCATATCGCCATATCTGTTGTGAAAAGCAATGCATTCTGCCTTAATGCTTGACTGTTGTCTAATATCTGCTGTGCATTATGTTCAAGGCTGTTACATGGGTCATAAAACTCTTAAACACATTTCTTGAAATGTTAACAGATATGTACAGGACAGGTTAAACACTGTAAAAATTTTTATATGCTACTCAAAATATGGTAACAATATTACATGTAATATTTCTGAGTAGATTTTAAGGCTTGATTCAGGAATCTACCCGAATAAATCATGTAAAATCTCCATAATTATTTATGACACAATGATTTTAATATTATTAGTGAAATGTGCTCATTTATTTTAAGTTGATTCTCAAAAGTTTGTGTTCTTGAGTAAGGCCTGTTTGTATTTGAATTACAATTAATAAGACTATTAACAGTGAGAGAGCTCAAGTAGTAGAAAACTTGTAACTGTACTGGCATTAGCAAAGCTACTGCTCATTTAACAAAGCATCTTTCCTTATAGTGTTAGTACATGCAGTTATCCATATCCTAACCATAAGCTCTGCTCTTCCACGCAATGGTAATGACAGAAACTTCAACATAACAAGAACTCTTTCAAATGTCAAACATAACTGAACATTAAACATTAACAGATGTTTCCCTGCACTCAAAAACACATAAAATAACACTTAATTTCAATATTTACTCTCCATATCCAGCCATATGCAAAGCATGGTGGGAAATAATAATCAAAAATCAAAATCTAAAATCAAAATTGTACTATTTTTTTTAAAATAGGTATTTATTCCTTAATTTTATCAGCTTAATCAGTTCCTCAATGCAAGTCTCAAAACTGCTTAAGTGAGGAAAACATATCTCGTGGTTTTATTAGTGAAATGTTCTCAATATTTTCTACACGACACTGAACAGCAATTTCTTTAATAAAATATACACACTATTTTTAATTATCACCTTAGTTTTTTAAATGAAAATTAAAAGACTCATGATTAATTTTTACAGTGCAGTATTGAGAACAATGATAACATTAATTGTTAATTAAAGGGAAAGTGATTTTTAAAAACAAATATGTATATTTGTTCAACCAGTTTCACTGAGGTGTTTAAAGGAAATTTATTTATTTACCCTTAAAGGGATAGTTCACCCAAAAATGAAAATTCTGTTATTATTTACTCACCTTCATGCCGTTTTAAACCTGGATGACTTTATCTCAAAATATCTTCTTTTAAGTACCAAATACATATAAAGACATAAGGGTGAGTAAATGATGACAGACTATGCATTTTTGAAAGTGAAAAAGTGAAAGTGAAAGTGACGTGGCCAAGTATGGTGACCCATACTCGGAATTAGTGCTCTGCACTTATCCCATCCAAAGTGCACACACACAGCAGTGAACACACACACCGTGAACACACACCCGGAGCAGTGGGCAGCCATTTTTTTGCTGCGGCGCCCGGGGAGCAGTTGGGGGTTCGGTGCCTTGCTCAAGGGCACCTCAGTTGTGGTATTGAAGGTGGGAGAGAGCACTGTACATTCACTCCCCCCACCTACAATCCCTGCCGGTACGAGACTCGAACCCGCAACCTTTGGGTTACAAGTCCGACTCTCTAACCATTAGGCCACTTGGATGAGCTATCCCACAGAAACTAACCCAAAAAAATTAACCCAAAAAATGAAAATTTGCTGAAAATGTACTCTCCCTCAGACCATCCAAGATGTGAATGAGTTTGTTTCTTCATTAGAACAGTTTTGGAGAAATGTAGCATTACATCACTTGCTCACCAGTGGATTCTCAGCAGTGAATGGGTGCCGTCAGAATGAGAGTCCAAACAGCTGATAGAAACATCACAATAATACACTAATAATCCACATGACTCGCGTCCATCAATTAATGTCTTGTGAAACAAAAAGCTGTGTGTTTGTAACAGACAAATCCATCATTAAGGCATTTTAAGTTTAAACAGTCACTTCTGGCCAAAAACAAGTCCATAATCCATAATAACGCTTCCTCCAGCGAAAAAGTCCACCAACATTGTTTAGAGCTGTTTTGGACTGTTTGGCATTTAAACAGAGCTTGATCTGTGTATATTTCTCTCCTAATTCAGACAGGACAACTTTATTAATGGAGAAAGAAATATTATGGATATAGGACTCATATTTTAGCCGGTAACTCGCTTTGGAGTCATGTGGATTACTTGTGGATTATTGTGATGTTTTTATCAGCTGTTTGGACTCTCATTCTGACGGCACCCATTCACTGCAGAAGTTCCACTGGTGAGCTAAATGTAGTGATGTAAAAGAGATGTAATGCTAAATTTCTCCAAATCTGTTCTGATGAAGAAACAAACTCATCTACATCTTGGATGACCTGAGTACATTTTGAGCACATTTTCATTTCTGGATGAAATATTCCTTTAAGGAATCGTGCTATTACTTTCTGTGGGTAAATACAAGGCACACAATTCATAAAATATAAATGCTAAATTTCTGATGATTATCAGAATTTGTTACATCAAGCACAAATATTTGAGTCTGTAGCAAAGTAATTTGGTGAAAGTCAAGTAGAAGTTCAGTTTACATGACGTGTTTATATCTTGACTAATGTTTAGCAACTCTAATAATACTACTTTGCACATAGATTATTTTTTATCATAATGCATTGTCTTTGTTTGTTCTCTTTTGCAGACTGCCCCATTTTGTTCAGTCCTGTTGATGTGGTGGTTGAATATGGAGATTCATTTTCAGTGAACTGCTCCTCCACCGACAAAACACACCAGTTCGGCTTGAGTTGGGAGGGATATGACACAATGGAGAACACTGAAGAGATCTTCAGAAGTGTGGATGTGATGGACTGGGAGATGAAGCTAACTTGTTACATGTACTCTAATGAAACACAGTGTTCACAGAATCTTCCCGTTACTATTTACAGTGAGTTGTTTTTTCCCCCCCAAAACAAATTATTTTCTGGAATTCACTTATAACAGTGAATATCGATATCTCTGAAATCTATTTACAGAGACTCCAGACAGTGTGTCCATCAGCATTGTGGATCACAGCGGACCAATGATAGAGGGAAAGCAGTATGAGCTCCAGTGTGATGTTCACGATGTGGCTCCAGTTCAGGATCTCACTGTCAAATGGTACAAAGGACAGACTCTGCTGAATCAAACCACCTTCACTGAGGATAGCAAGACTCCAGTGAATGAAACCACCACACTCCTGATCCGTCCAGACAGAGCAGATGATGGAGCTCAATACAGGTGTGAAGCAGAGCTGGAACTGGGAGCAGAAGGACCTCAATATCCTATAAAATCTTTAGAACCTCTCAGTGCGGAAGTACACTGTAAGTTTATTATTTCCATGATTGCCATTTAATTAAATTTATATTTTCTAAAGGGCCTTCTAGTGTGAAGGAACGGTCGTATTTCATCACATACAGAGATTTGCATATTAACAGATAATTTTGATCAAATATTACATATTATGAATTGCATTACCATAGATAAAAAGGTTTCAGTTGTACAGTATTTTTCTGGTCTGTTAATAACAGCTGCTCATCATGGTGCTGTTGTGCTATTAAATGTCTCTCTGTCCTCCTCAGATAAACCAAAACACTTCAATTCAACAGAGACCATCATTAAAAACGACGAGGTCACACTAAACTGTACAGTGAAGGCAAAGCCGGCTCCTACGTACACATGGCACTCAGAGCATCTGAAAGAGGAGATCAGCTTCTCAGTGCTCCAGTCCTCCACACTCAGTCCAGGAAACTACACGTGCACTACCACAAACTCTCTGGGAAGTGACAGCAAAGTGTTCATCATCAAATCTACAGGTCAGTTTTGAATAAACACATCTACCTCTGTCCTCAGGCAGTAAGTTACAATTTTTTATTTTTACATTCTTACTGTTTAAAAGAGTGCTGCAGTGATAACATATTTTTGTAGAGATAGACAGACAGATAGACACATAGATAGATAGATAGATAGATAGATAGATAGATAGATAGACAGAATGTATTTATTTTATATAGTAATAAATGGTGCATAATTTAGAGGTGAATATTGTCTAGTACCATGAAATCCCATCAAACTGCAAAATATTAAACAACAAATATCATGAAACAAAATACAGTACATTCATTTAATAAAAATATATGTTGCGCTTATTGTCTTCTGTCTGTTTTGACTGCCGATGATCACAAGTGTGACCCCTAAGAAAGGAAATACCACATGGTTAAAAAACGTGTGTTGCGTTTTTTCATTCCACTGCCCTGAGTCTCATGGTTTTAAACTCAAAAGCATGTTCTGTGTGAAAAGTCACTAAGGCATCTCTAATTTTATTGCTCACACTTGTGAAAAGCTATTTTATTTATGCTTTACATTGCCAAATATATGAAGGACTGTTGCACAGTACTGTATAGATAGATGAATGCCCAAACTGATTTGTAAATAAAGCTGTTATTCTGTGATGAAGCTTCATTGGTTTTCAATCACATGCTGTTCTGTAGAGAGTCAATGTCCTATTCAACTCATCCCACGGAGAGCTGTTGTGAGGTACGGTGACGATGTTTCAGCTGACTGCAAAACTTCAGTCCCACATAAAGGGATGGGATGGGAAGCCAGTGAGGGAGCAGTGTCCATGACCAGAGACAGTCTGATCACATGGAGAGTGTCAAATCTGATAGAATGGGACATACAGCCATTCTGCTACATAAACCATGAGAAACAGTGTCAAGTAGAGCTCCCAGTCACTATTTACAGTCAGTTTCCCTGTTACTTTTATTTTTGTCTTTCCATTCTCAGAAATATCTAATAAATGTACATTGATCACTGCAGATTTCAGAGTTTGTAAGTCTTCCTCCACAGAGACTCCAGACAGTGTGTCCATCAGCATTGTGGATCACAGCGGACCAATGATAGAGGGAAAGCAGTATGAGCTCCAGTGTGATGTTCACGATGTGGCTCCTGTTCAGAATCTCACTGTCAAATGGTACAAAGGACAGACTCTGCTGAATCAAACCACATTCACTGAGAATAGCAAGACTCCATTGAATATAGTCACCACACTCCTGATCCGTCCAGACAGAGCTGATGATGGAGCTCAATACAGGTGTGAAGCAGAGCTGGAACTGGGAGCAGAAGGACCTCAACCTCCTCCAAAAGAAATATCAGACCCTCTCAATATCACTGTATATTGTTAGTGAACAAAATATTGTTTTATGTCTCCACATATGTAAAGAAGCAAGAACTTCTCCCAAAATACAAACAAATAAATATGTTCTTCTTATCTTTCTATGTTCTTCTTTTCCAGATGCTTCAAAAATTAAATTTTGTAACAGCTGGTCACCATTGACAGGGACCTCACTGGATTCACATCCTTTAAATTTATATTATGTGGTGGGTAACCCTCGTCCAGACATCTCCTGGAGACACAAAGCATCATCAGTCAATTCCTCTATGCCTCTTACCAAATTTGATTCTGGCCAATATGAAATCATTGCCAGTAATGACCATGGTGATTTCAATTGTTCTATAAACATCACAGTAGAGTGTAAGTGTGAGAGTTCTTCAGGAACTTCTGCATTAAAACCTGACGTTTTATCTCTGATTGTGTCTTTAAGTTGATTGTTATCTCCCCAAAATAGATCCTCCAGAACTGAACTGCAGCGAGAGCTACGAAGTAAAAGAAAAAACATTCTTCAAATTTCCTTGCATAGCCGATGGATTACCAAAGCCTAAATTCTCCCTCTACAGAAATGGAAAAATTATCGAGCGTGACTTTTATCCCAATTGGACTGATAGTGGCCAGTATCAATTAATCGCACATAACCAACACGGAACAATTAATTCTACATTCACCATCAACATCCTACGTAAGAGAAAAATGGTCTTCAATGTATATTTCTTTAACAACCGTAGCCAATGAATTAACAAAGACAACTTTCTACTTTCAACACAGATGCCCCAGTGTTTTATGTCAGCCAACAGAATTTTGTCGTGGGAGAAGACAGCAACATAACGCTAGAGTGCACCTCGGCTGGTAACCCAGAACCTGAGATGTGGTTGAGTTTAAAAAATAAGAACATCTCCACTGGGAGGCGCCACATAACCTTAAACATTGAGAGAGCCACGTCTACCAATGCTGGAGTTTATACATGCAGTGCCACGAATAAATTTGGACGCAAAGACAAAAGCTTCGTAGTGGAGATAAGAGGTTTGGGCTGTGACTGTGAAAATAATATGATGTTCCCCATAAGATATTAAATGATAGTTCTTTTAATTGCGTGATATATTACTGACATTTAACCACAAAATGAATGTTTAATACTAGAGTTCAAAATCAGTTCTTCATTAACTGAACATACTTTTTTTTTTTTTGCTTTCTTTTTTAGATGACTCTCGCAACTACTTCCCTATTGTTGCTCTGGTATTGGGACTGCTTGTTTTAATCCTCCTTATAGTGATCTTATTGTGGGTGAGGAAAAATACAACAGGACTTTATGAAGTAGGTGCAGTCAGTGGAGCAGTATGAACTGTTAAGCAATGGGGGCCCTAAGTGAGTTTTATCCTGTTTTAATCAGTTGAAATATGCTTACATTGAAAAAAGACAACATATTGAACATCATTCAGGTTACAATAAATAAAAACATTCTATAAATATCTGTGGTATAATGTGTAAAGCCTGTGTCATACTTCCCGCGTGCGCTAGTCCGCTATGGTATGCGTGACGTAAAAATCGTGTGACTCCCATTTTTTCGCGCGGTCAGGCTACAAAAGCACCAACTGCGCATGCGCGGGCTGTGTGACTAAGCCCGTTGCTATTCGAACCTGTACATTCCGTTGATAAAACAATATAAAGACAGCCAGATGTGCAATTGTTTATTCACATGTTTGTTTACTGTTCAAGCCGATCTACTGCGCATGTATGGAACACCATCATCGTATGCTTTCGGTAGTACAAGTCCGCGTACGCGTCCGGATTGCTCATGCGGAAAGTATAACACAGGCTTAAAAGCTAATATTGTACAGCATGCACTTGTCACTTGTGTATATGATATGGATGATATTTCAGTGACAGAAGAATGTTTGAGATGAGTAAAAAAAACATTTAAAACGTATCGTCTTGTCACATGACAACAAAATGGTTTTCTGTATGTTGGTTATGGTTCTGATTTATTTGCTGTTGTCTTAGGAGATGGTCAAATTAAGAAAAATGTTTATTTTGTGTTAAATAGCTTTTTACTTTTGTTAGTTTTTTTTTTAAGAGAGATGATGGACAATTTCCAGGCCAGACATGTGCTTTCTGTGTTAGACAAGTTTGACAGTCTGTAGGCGATTGGGAGATATTTTACAAGTAATCTTCCCGTGTTTTTATTTTTATAATAATGATGCAATAAAAAAAAAAATTATGCACAAGTAATGAAAGATTATACGAAGCTACTTTTGCAACAAAAAAAAAAAGGTTATTTTTTGGAGCCTTTTAATAAGATCCTTTCAGTCTTTTTTAAGCCCCACAAAACAGAGAGAGAGAAAGAAAGCAAGTCAAATGTTATGTATTTTTGAATGGTTTAATAGATCCCAACACGTTATCTCACTGACCCTTGTGCTATCTTATGTATAAAAAAGCAAAATGAATGTTAATCAATGAACAAGATGTTTTTAGAAGCATTGTTAATGATTGTTGCCGTGTGGTGTTAATAATTTAAGCAAGGTCTCCGTTTATGAAGTTCTCTCACTCCTGCAGACATGCAGATGATCTGCAAGCTGGAAACTGTATCCGGCGGCTCCTTTAAGAATGAGGGATCTGGGACTGAGTGACGCGGCAATGAAATCCAGTTGATCCTTCGCTCGCTTTGCAGCGAAAAGTATTTGTGCCACCGCAAAGTAGCTGGCGCTGGAGATCCGTAGCGTTAGCGCTTTGTTCAGCGTTGCGCGTGAATGTGGGAAAAGAAAAGACTCGCCACCTTTTATCCTATTTTGGACATCTGTTACTCTTGTAAGTTGGGATAACTTTTCAGCCTAATAGAGTGGAGTGGCAGGAGAGCTGGGAACATGGACTGGGGCACTGAGCTTTGGGTAAGTTCGGAGGATAGGGTTTTATGGTTTATGTTTCATCCTTCTGTACCCAGAAATATATTATCCGATGCGGTGCGATCCAAATCCTCTCAATTGATTACACGGGCGTAAATAAATGTGATTTATGACTATTTACTTGCAACATGGAGGAGGATAAATGCATCAGAACACTATCTGGCAGATATTATGACCTAATTTTTTTAAGTTGTCACCATTTAATTCGATTAATTGCCACGTTTAATGTGAACATCTGCTTAAACTCAAAGTTGAGCAGAATCATAGCAACAACAACAGTATCACCGTTAATCAGTGTAGCCTATCAGTCTAAACTCAATGTTAAATACTGAATATTTTGATATCTATCTAGCTGTTTTAGCTAATTATTTTTTTATTTTAGGGGATAGTTGTTTGTTTAATAAGGCATAGGTGAGGTATAACCAACAACTTTTGACATTAACACCACTATTTTGTGTGTAGGGTTGTTTTTCTAAGTCTCATGCTGTTTTGGAAAGGTGTTTTGTCTTTGTTTACCTTCTCAGACAGGCTTAATAGTATTGCTAATGAGAAGTGCTAGCTGCTTGTTTAAGAATTTGTTACAAAGCTTGTTGTTTGGTTTCAGTGTTTTTTTGTAGATCATTTGGAGGAGTTTAATAAGCAGTCTCTGCTTATCAGTGGCGCCTGACAAAGAATAGCTCATGTATTGATGATCTTTATTTGGTGACACCAACCGGGTTTGCTTGAAGCATTGAATTTGTCCAAAATTGTCACATTTTTAGGGTCCACTAAAGCACTCAAAGCTCTTTGACAATGTAGAACTGGGTTAGAGAAACTGAGTCGCATGTTTCTGATTGCATCATCATCACCTGTATGTCATCCTGCCTGTTTAAGTTTCCCCATTTCCCTGACCACCATCCCATAACGTCCCATCTGCACAGAGGTTCCCACCTCTTTTGACTAAAGACAGATTTTACATGCCTGCAGTGTGTAAATGGAGCGTTGCGCTGAAGTGGGTGGGGATTGTTTGATCTCATTGCTGTTGTTCCCCCTAGGCCTCTGTCCGCTGTCCCCTTTCCATCTTCTACTGCACCAGCCTAATTAGTTTTGCCCTAATTTTATAAAAACACATCATCCAGCTCACATCACTGTTTATTTTGGTGTTCTGCTTCACTAGAAAGTTTCCCTTTTCCGTGCTTTTTGAGGGACGCCACTGCCAGCCTGGGAAATTACAGTAGTTTCAGCTTGGTAGTAAACAGAAGTGAAAGCTGGGGTTCGTGTGGACTTGTTTCTCAGGTGTAGACGCTTCAGGCATTCCTGGTGGGTGGGAAGTGCGTGCAGTGGTTCTCATGAGTCTTGCATGGTTTACCGTCACTCTAAGCAATGTCTAACCTAATTGGTTTTGGTCGGGTTAGTCATTAAGTGCCATTCCCATGGCTACACTATGACATCTGTCCACTCATTTTGCTGCTAATCCACTAGCTATTTTGGCAGCTCAAGATTTCCGTTTACCGATGAGAGAGTGGCTAATTTTTGTTGGTTTTAGTGTTTGTTTGAATTCTTTCTGAATGTCTTGAGAAATGCTGCACAGCAGGCTCCTTATTAAGTCATTAGAGCATGATGAAGGACAGTGACATTTCGCTGTGGACTCTCGTATTGGGGAGGTTGTAGACTGGTACTCTCTGCTCAGGCTGGGAGAATAGCTTTGCATTATGGGAAGGAGGAGTTAATGATGGTGGAAAAGTACAAGGGAGGGGTCAAGACTGGGCCGAATACAATGCTACAGATAAGAGGAACCCTGCTGTAAATTATGCCTCGGACTGTTTTTATAGCTTGAATGGAAGTTTTCAAAGGGGATCTCTGTTGGTTTTAAGATTGTGATGATAGCAGTCAGTGTGAAGTTTGATTGAAGCCACCGCTGATTCAAATCTTAAGAGAGTTGTTTTAGTGAATAAACTGCATTAAAGGTTTAGATCAACCACAAAACCATTCCAAACCCATTAGTTTTTTGCTCCTCTTTGAACAAAAATGAAGATATTTTTAAAGTTATTTTTCTCCATCAATCCAAAGCCTTTATATACTTTTTAGAAATTTTAAACGTTGATTATTTAGACTTTCTAACAGACAGACAAAATTGATAAATATTAAAAATATTCAAAGATTTCCCAAAGTTTTATGAATTTGGATCGATGAGAGCTAGTAAATGATGACAAAATTATAATTTTTGGATGAACTAACCCTTGAACATTTTATTTCTTCATGTGAATTTTAAGAACTGTCAAGAAATGCCTTGGTTATAAATAAATTATATAATCAATCACGTTAAAATATACATCACAGTTGTATATAATGTGCTGAATTTAATTGATGCTGATTTTTTTTTTTTTTTAAAGTTCAACACTATATTTACAGTAATGAGAATAACATAATTTTTTCACATTATGATAATGAGAATTTTGCTAAAACTGTAGTTGTAATGAAGAATAATGTCTCTATAAATAATAAAACTATTACTTCTGATTTGTGGGTATTAACATTTCTTTGTGACATTCCTTTTCTTACCGCGTTGGCATTCTGGTTTGTCAACACAAACATTTATGTACAAATTTGATGTACAAATATTTGCATACAAACAGAAGCTTATCTTGTGATTATCGTCGACATAAACAACTGCCTCTTGTGGCTTTGTTTTGAATGAAGTTGAAAAGCACTATTTTTGCGAGTGAGTGGGTTGTGAGGGGGTAGGTAATTCTTCTCTTGTTCTATATTAATGGTCTCCATTTTGAGGAGAGAGGAGGAGGAGGTGGAGTCAGGACATGGCCTGGCTTGTTAGGAATGTCATCGCAAAGGCAACTCCCTCCTTCCCACTTCAAAACACATATCTAGGTCCAGGCGGATGGAGGTAGCACTGAGGGGGTGGGGGGTGTTTCAAGATATCGGCTCTCAAAAGTGGTCAGGCCCGTACTTGAAATGTAACACACTACCCCACCAAATAAGGAACTGGGAAAAGGGAAAAACACAGCCAAACTGGACCATTTCAAATGTTTTTTTTTTCTTTGGGAAAATGCTGACAAATGTTTGTCAAATTAGTCCCTAGGTCTGTTTTTGTTTTGCTTCGGGTTCGGGCGTGCTGTAGGAAATAGCATGTGATATTCATATTTTTGTTGAGCACCACTGAAATACAGCAGGAAGGGGAGAAGACTTCCACTTCCTGTGTCCTGTCTGCTCAAACGCTTGTGGCAGGATGAGTTTAAAGCCCTGAGGAACCCCCTGCCTCCCACAGATAACTTCATAGGATCATAGGTTGCGAACAGGCAGGGAATCTCTGGGATGTTCTCTGTGTGGGCAGAGACAGGACAGCTCATTAATGGCCCTTTCACATAACTCGCATCAGCATTGCGGATGGCATGATGTTTATTAATGGGTGTAAATAATATGTGTACTATATAATGTGAAGATTATTTTCTCAATGTCATCATATGTAGTGTTGAAACACTTGATGATCACAGCAGTGCAGGGTTCCTATGGTCATGGAAAACCTGGAACCCGGATTTTCAACTTTTCGTCAAAACACATTTTGATAAAAAGTCATAAATTCTCAAGTGAATGTTTTTTTTTTTTTTTAGCTCTAAAATACTTAAACAGCTAGATTTTGTTTTTTACCCTTATATTTAAAAAAAATTGTTAAAAGTTTGGAACCAAAAAGTTTAGATTTTTTTTTTTTGTAGATGTTTTATAAGAAGTCTCTTATACTCACCAAGGCTGCATTTATTTGAGAAATGCAGTAAAAAAGTAATGTTATGAAGTAGGGCTGCACGATTAATCGAATGCGATTGTCATGCGCATTTTGTTAAAAAAGCCGGTTCTGTAATCAGCAAGAAATCATCATCACGTGCTTTCAGCACTGACAAGTTACGCAAAAAAATCGCAGACAATTTTATTGTGCGATTCTGAAATCGTTCGCGATAATAACAGCTGTTTGCATAGCTTCTCAGTGAACTACGGCTCTGTGAAGTAAATGCTGCTCCATCTGAAAGCATGTGAAAATACCACATTTAATAACATATTTTTACTCCAAACTCACTTCATAACGTCAGTCGAGTGTTTGAAATAAATCCTTCTGTGAGATGATGTGGCTTCTTACACCGAATAAGGCACGCAACATATTTCATAGTATTTAAGCAGTGATAAAGGCATTGCATTATAAATATACTTTATTTTAATGAAAATTATAATAAGAACTCAGATAAACCGTATATTGCCGTAGTCGTGTGTTTATTAGTTACGTTGAATCAATGAAAGCAGTTGAATCTTCTGTTTATTCAGCTTCAGCGATTTTCTGTTTTTTTTCTGCGAGGCGTATTTGGAGTTTCAGCGCGAGAGCGCCCTCTGGCCTTTGGATGGAGATTTACTGCTGATCACAGAACCGTGCTTCACTGAAAGATACGCATGACAATCGCAGCTTCTGTCGAATCGCGATCTCGATTCCATTTCGATTTATCGTGCAGCCCTATTATGAAGTATTACACAAAAAATGCTGGGTTGTTTCAAATATAGACTAACCCTGTAACCCTATAGACTAGAGGTCGACTGATATGGGTTTTTCACTGGCTGATGTCAATGCCGATATTTAGAAATCAGGGCAGCCGATGGCCGATATATGATGCCGATTTTTTTGTCTGATATGTTTGGCCGATTTTCTTTTTTTTTCCTATTCATATCATAAAAGTGAGTTTGAGCAAATGATTATTGCAGGGTACAAGATAGTAGTAGTAGTAGCCCAATTTAGAGTAATAACACATGGCTCAAAACTTAAGCACCTTCTCAAAACAGTTCTGAAGCATGCTTTTTGTTTATGTTTGCTGACAGACACCAGTGTTTCCCACAGACTGCAAATCAATTCTCTGCCAGCAGGAGGCGCTTTGGGAGCTGGAAGCTGGAGATTTTCCCCGGTAATGGCTGTAATCAAATAAGCCTACTTTATCAGGCATTACAGGAAAGACGAA